ATCAGAGCTCTGAGGACTAGTCTTCTTGAAAGCGATGTGTCACGTCAGGCAGACCATTCGTCGATTTGGAGTGGTTACTCGAGCAGCTGCCAGTTCACTTGGGTAACTACGCTACTAACTATGAAACTATAACATATGCCAAGCGAATATTGCGCTATCCGAGTGACTGCCGGACAGCTGGGCTTGAAAGTAGTGTGACGACAGGCTGAAGATTAAGGAGGAATAAAGAAAAAGTGCTGTTTAATACTACGTCCTCCCCACTAACTTGCCTCTACAGACAAGCTTATGCTAAAAGAAGTTCATGCCATCCCTTGTACGCAGTCAGTTGCATGCATTGTGCTCCATACAGCTATGTCATTTCCTTTTTCTTGCACAAAGATTCATGGACGCATTGATCTGTTATAAATTATCATGCACTCAGATTTTTGCCCTATTCTAAACGTTCGCTTGCTAGTAGCGTGGTTGCAAGCACCACTGTCTTAGTCGATTTGCATAATGGTTCCTAGTCAGCAACCTGTTCCTCCTAAAGATGAGGCGCCCGTAACAACTGCTGTAAATGTGCATGATGAGATTGATGATAGCGAAATTGACACCGACTGTGGTTATGAAGGAGATGACGAAAGGGGTGACGACGAAGAAGATGAATGGGAAGAAGATGAGGATGAAGAAGAGGGTGAATTGGGCGGGGATGAAGGTTTGGGAGAGTCCGTAGAATCTGAAAGCTACGATGACTTTGACGACCTAGACGATGAAACGGAATGGGACGAATCTGGAACTGATGATGAGGGAATTGTTTTGACCGAGTATGAGGATGACGACGACGAGGGCGAATGGAATGACTTCCAGTGAATAAAGTAATTTCACTCAGATTCTGAAAACCGTACGTATAGTGATTTTGTTCAAGACATTTTTAAGTTTCTTTTTTGTTAAAATTTTACACTTATTTTTGTACTGTTTCCACTTCTCTATGCATATTGCGCAACTTATCCAACAATTCAACAATTGCGCTTCAATCCTTGCTGCGGATGAAGACAGAATATTTGGCGACACGGGCCCTTCACTGTTTGCAGTGAACGACAGGAAACACTTTTTGCGACCGGGGTCTTTCACATCGGTGACGGCAAAAAAAAATACGTGACGTTCACGCCCTTTCACTGAACGATAGCAGACACCTGCCAATCGTCCTTCCGTTTCGCTAGATGAGGGGAATACTTGGCGGCTGGGGAATTCCACTTCGGAGAGAGCCGACTGAACAGCAGTATTTCCCTTCAGAGAGATTTTGGGAATCAACCATCCGGTTGAAGCAGTTTTAGCCAGAAGTTGGGAAAGAAAAAAGGGCAGGTCAGTTCTTGCTAGAAAGGGTCCTACCTCCCGGAATGTTCTCATAATACATTTCAAAACAGTAAAGTGAAATTGTCAGCCAGAGGTCAAGATTCATCTGCGGATAAACACTTCAATACATTTTTAAGCGTTTTGCATTTCACGAAATCTCTGTGTATGTTTAGGTGTGCTTTTTT